TGACTCATATCCCATCAAAAACAAGTTTAATGGTTATTAAATTTCTAAGGTGAACTACAAATGTCCTTTTAGTCCATATCATAAGTAAAATCATTCTGAATTTCCTCTCAAAAAAATATGTTGTGAGTTCCAAACAACCAAAGTAGGGAAATAATTTTTGGAACCAGCAAATTCCTAAATTGGGAAGAGCACAACTGTCTCGCTTTCTTTCCCCTCACAACCCCTTGTTCAATTTATCTGTTAATATAATAAAGTCCCTCATTGTCATGTGCTGCAGACAGTCATTCTTGATTTGGGGTTCACTTTGTAGGCTCTCATAGATCCACAGTTAACCTGAAGATTGAAAATGAACCTACCATAGAATATGCACAGTGACATCCTATGCCAGCATCTGGTCCTCCCAGCCCTGACAGTGACGGGTGCATCTGTCAACACCCATCCTGACATCTGCATAAAGGGCAGGTTGGAGAGATGGTAGATGCAGGTAGGGAGGCTGTTGGAATGTTTCTCACCTGCAGTCACCCACATAAATGACAGTGAGAACCTGGAACAAGGGGGGGCATTGGAGCAGGGCAAGGCTGGCAAGTGAGAGGTGCAGCAGAGACAAAGCCACAGGGGAGGATGGGGTCCTGCGGAAGGGCTGAAGGCCTGAGAATCCTTCCTCCACCCTCCCCAGGCGGTATCGCTCCCATCTCATCGACACCCCCACAGAGTCTCCATTCTCTCAACCTAGGACATTTATCCCCAAGCTACTCTGTAAACTAGAACAAGACAGGAAATGTGTCTGATTCCCCTCCCCTTGCCCCAGCATCGAGGTGCAGCACCTAGCACTCAGTAGTTTATTCATATATGTCCTAATGGTCATCCCCCTGCCTCAGGAGTAGGCTCCATATGTCTCCCTCACAGAAACAAGGCCAGGTGGGACTCCAAAACCCTCCTTTCCTTGGGCCCCACACAATCAGAGTACCTCCTTCCCCACTTGCTGTGTGCTCTGGCAGTTGTGCTCTCCAGACTGCAAGCAGGTCTTTAACATATTTAGATCCTCCTCAGAATCGACTCCAACATCTCCAGCAAGTTTTCTTCTCATCCTGCCTCCCACCACCCTACCCTTTCCCCTTATTCTGTTCCACAATATCTAGCCCTTCCGTGGACGCATTTAAACATTTTCTGCTAGGGCATTTTTTCTGAATTTTGTTATATTCTGGCAATTTCTTAGTGAACATAGGAGAGCTGCTTCTTCTGTTCAAATAAGGAGTCCTGCTCAATATCCTTTTAGTTTTCATATGCCTTCTTTCAAGGCCTTTCTGAATTTTTTTTTCTGGGCCTGAAAGCCAGTGGGGTTTTGCACAGGGGCGTTGTGGCTGAGTCCAAGGCAGACTGATATACTTGTCTATTAACCATTTGTTACCTCGAGTTGATCACCTTGATGGTGAGTGAGTTACCATTTACCTGTGGGTCCCAGTCCTGAGTAGTAATGTGGAGCTCTGTAGTTTACCTTCTCTTTACTCATAACTTGGGCCAATTTCACCTAAGAATATTTACTTACCCACTTTAATTCAATTTGAATCTATCTAAGACATTTAATTCCACAAACATTTATTAAGTTCTTCTATAAAAGAGAGTTTGATAACTTTCTGTCCTTTCACAGGATATCCAACCACATCTTGCAAGATAACTACTTAAAAGAGCTATTTCACTACTTAGAAGAGCTAAATATAAACAGTAAACCAAGTTTTCCATTGTTTAAGCTTTTTAAAAATCATTTCTGAAAATGTTTAGTAAGCTGGTGCCTTATCCTTGATAAGAATGTTCCCCCCTTGATAGTTAATTTCTGTGTCAACTTGACCAGGCTACGGTGCCCAGATATGTGGCCAAACATTATTCTGGATGTTTCAGAGGTGTTTGTGGATGAAATTAACATTTAAATTGGTGGACTACGAGTAAGGCAGATTGTCTTCCGTAATGTAGGAGAGCATCATCCAATCAGTTGAAGGCCTGAATAGAACAAAAGATTAACCTCCCCAGAGCAAGAGATAATTCTCCAGCAGACAGGGTCGGCTCACGCCTGAGTCTCCAGCCCGTCAGCCCATCCTGCAGATTTTGAACTTGCCTGTCTCTATAAGCACACAAGCCAATTCCTTGAAACAAATCTCTTTCTATATACATACACATTCTATTGGCTCTGATTTTCTAGAGAATCCTAAATAATAACCACCTTTCACCCTCCAGGTTTTTGAGAGGAAGACACCATCTTGGCAGGAGAGGACACCTTGGGCAAGGCTGGGGGTTTGTTGGAGATTCTGACTGAAGACCTCTCAGGGGAAGGGTCAGAGGGAAGGTCTGGAGGTTTGACCCATGACTGGATATATGTCACGGGGGAAAGAATCCCTGGGAGAGGTAAGGGGGGAGGAAAGTAGCCCTCTTATGATGGCATTCCAGAAGCAATCTAAGAAACTATATAGGCCTCTGAGAAGGCGTCATGAATCCATGCAATTTGATTAATTGATTTAAAGTATGTTTAAGTTTTATTTTCAGGCTCCATTGTTATTTCTGGTACATTACTCTGTGCATTATTTCAGC